TGAACGTTTTAAAAACGATGACAGTGCGATGAAACGAACATATTTAAAAATATATAAGACATTTTCTTCGTATATATTAATAAGAGGTGGAATAGAACCTAACTTTAAAATATAACCTAGGAAGCATACCATCGATTTCATTCAATTAAATTTTACTAATAACAGGTGCCTCATAAATTTTAAATGTTAATTCCGCATTTTTGTTTGCTTGTTAGTATCACAACGTTTAAGTTTTAATATTATTAAAGAACCGATTTAGTGTATGTGCATATTTAACGGATGTTCTAATACAGAGGGACAAGAAGTCAAGTGTCGAGATTTAATTGATTTTAGGTGTTTGTAGATAATTATTGCGGATTTGTGCAAGTCCGGTTGCTAATTCTTTGATAATGAAGCGATATTGGGAGCGTTGAAAAAGAAAGTGTGTGAACCTTTATACTTCTGCGTTTCGCCTGCTGAGTGACGTAGCCGGTGTCAACATTATGATAACGTTATCACTTAACATCAGGTGAACCGCCAGCGCCCTCGCCACCTGCCCACTTAAAAAAAACTGAATACCATTCGTCTTTCGCGGCGCGTATCACTATGTATGCTCAGATCTTTAAAACTACGAGACGGATCTTGATGCGTTTTTTTTACTAGATAGAGTGATCCAAGAGGAAGGACTATATGTTTAATACATTGCATCCGTGCGAAGCCGGGGCGGCTCGCTAATGTCATATAAAGTACTAAAAGCGGTACTAGCCACCCGCTCCATTCGGCATAACGCCGTCTATTTATAATAACAAATTTGTTATCGAGGAACTTTACGCCTCGTAATTATACAAATTAGATCACCGCGGACCACACGTCTCAGCCACCGGCACGGGAATATTCTGAAAGTCTTAAAGTTCCCATTTCGTTTTTATACGCGTTCCCATGAAACATTCAGGATGCCGCTGAAAGGTGAAAATCTACCTCGTGCTTTCCCCTTCTTATTGTGTTGTGAATGATCTTTTTAATCTGTGCAGCTTTTATGTTATCTGTGGTGGTGTTGTTTGTTCGAAGTGTTGTTATGGTGTTCCTTAGCCCTTTGGAAGGTTATTGCATATCTTTTTGTTATGTGCTTTAATGACGCTCGTGTTTGTTTGTTTTATCGACCGCGTGGCTTATATTAGACGCTGGGATTCTGTTTTCATAGGGGGAAAGGATGATGGGAGAAAGTGTAGTTTTTGTAATTAATATTATGTTTTGAGTGTAATATACATAAATTCATCTAGTTTGCGAAGTTAAGCTTTTTTAGATAATAATCTAATTTTAATGCCGGTTACCTTTAATTGTCTCCGCGAGCGGTCTTGAACCTTTTGCACATAATAAACGGAGCCCGCGTTTTTTATCGCCATACAAGTAAATGTCATTACATCCGTCGATCGAAGCAAACAATACAAACGGTTCAACAAAAGTATTTGATCCAGAGATATGTGCGGGTACCTGTATCAGTAACTTGCACATATTTTTTTATAATACGTTAATATAACTTTCATATGTGTATATGTGACTAGCGACCCGCCCCGGCTTCGCACGGGTGCAATATATTATACATAAAAACCTTTTTCTTGAATCACTCTATCTAATAAAATACGCGCATCAAGATACGTTGCGTAGTTTTAAAGATCTAAGCATGCATCGTTACAGACAGACAGCGGGACGACTTTGTTTTATACTATGTAGTGATGTCGCTTTGAATGCAGTTACGAATCTTTGGTGTGAGTTTGACCTCCTGGGGCTTGGGTTCGTGACCCTTTTTAAGGCCGGATATAAATGTGTGTACATTTGCGTTTTAGACATTTAAGAGAATATTTAACTTGAATCTATAGCTAGCGGGTATAGGTGAGAGTCTATAGGCTGGATTATTATTAGGAGTACATTTATAATGTTATCTCGATTAGCTTAATTTGTCCTTGCGTCTTATTTTGTTATTGGTTTCATAGCTGTTTATGTATTTTTGTCCGGAAGTAATTAATGCTTAACTATTATCCCACTTAGGGAAGCTCAGTTAAGGAGCATTACACTCTTTTTTTGACGCGCGGTTAAGATGCGACGATCACTCCCATGGGTAGCGATTTCTGATTTCCACAACCATTTTTGTGTTATGGAGAAGGAGGATCTTAGCAGACAGGTCAGTGGAGACAGTTTCACTTATCAATAAGCTAAATCCCTCTTGTGAGAATTCATTCGTTAGCTGATAAGCGCGTATTGTTTTTTTTTAATTACGTGCGTACTTCATTGTGACTGTCAAGGCCGGCTACTTACGTCGAGCCTAATGGTGATAACGGGCGATATCGTTGACGAAAACTGATTTTTTATGAGAATAAAAACTGTTATCGCCTGCGTTAGAGATTTGACCTAGAGAATTTATAATGAAATGTAGTTTAATATTTTGTGTGTACGTATTATTTTCCGCGTGCTACTCAAACGTTTCAAAGTCAAAATTTATTTATTCAATATGGGCTTAATTTAAGCTCCTATTGAACTTCAAATAATTTTGATAAAAAAAAACCGACTTTAAACAGGAAACTACAAACATTGTCAACACCTTACTTTATAACGTTTGAGGATTGCCCCCGATTTCTTTGTGATGCCATCATCAGATCCGGTTTCCTTATTATGGTACCACCCTTGGGATATCTCCTTTCCAACAAAAAAAGAATCATCAAAATCTGTTCATAAATGACGAAGTTATCCACGAACACACACACACACACACACATATATATATACAGCGTGTCGTTACCATCGCGACAATAAATGAACACACATTTAGGGGATAACTTTTTAAAGTTGTATTAAACATTTAAATTCTTTAAACATCAATATTTACAGAGTTATTAAATTTTCCAAAACAAAGAATTTTAGAACACCCTTACCTATAAAAGCGTAACGTAAAGTTCATTTGTAAAGGTCACAAAGCATATGAATTGGTTGAATGAATTTAAAAGAGACAAAACATACTGTTAGAAGGAGAGGCTTGTAATGTGACGCTGTGGCGCGAGTTGTATAGGATGTAATAATTTTGTTTCTTTTTTACTTAATTAGTTTGTTTGAAAAATATTTTTTTTTTAATTATGGATTTTGTTTAACGCTAATATTTTTTTATGATTATTGGCAAGTAGCGTTAGACGTGTGTTCATTTATTGTCGCGATGGTAACGACACGCTGTATATATACGGTCGCATTGAGTAACCTCTTTTTTTTTGAAGTCTGTTAAAAATGGCAAAAATCATGTCTGTTGTATAGGAGCCCATTTTATTATTCTGTGTAAATATTTTTTTATTCTGTTTTTTAGTTTATATATATATATATATATATATATATATATATATATATATATTGTATTTGTAGTCTTAGCGGCAACAGAAATACATCATCTGTGAAAATTTCAACTTTCTAACTATCACCGCTCATGAGATACACCTTGGTGACAGACGGACAGACAGACAGACGGCGGAGGCTTAGTATTAGGCTCCCGTTTTACCCTTTGGTTACGGAACCCTAAAAAACAACATTGCGAGAAGTCTGTCGTTGCGGGGTGTGATAACCTGCATACCTACCTTACGGCGCGGGATCCAAGATTTCAAATCCTTTTGAATCTCTCTCCAGAAACCGTATCGTTCGCTGTACGGTGACATACTGACGTACAGTTAAATATGCTTATATACATTCTCAAACAAGCCCAAATATAGGAAAAATAGCGCTAACTACGGCCAAAGGGCGCGGCCCCACACTTAGTCATCTGTTGATTATTGGACGGCGATAACTCTGAGTCAACGCTAAAATAGACCGAATTCGAGTCCACATTTTGCACGCACTGGCAAATGTTGCTTGCGATAATGCTATCAGACGACATGGGAATCATGTATTGTATTCGTTACTGATGAGGGTACAAATAATTGTAATGGTACACAGAAAGCTCTGATTACAATTATCTTTATACAAAGACAACTAATAATTTGTAATTCATTGGGCATTTCATTATTTAAGTGTAATGCCTACATCCACATTATTCAACAATCTTAGGTCGTATTTTAATTAATTTTGCTTATTTAAATTGATCTTATTTCCTTCTCCCGTGGCCCTCCCGTGACACCTTACTATTCGTAACTGATTTAATTTTACCCTTTTTATCTTCATATTTTAATCACTGGACGCTGTCATATTGAAATAGCACATATATTATTGAACAATACCGTAAGGTCATTAATGGTAAGGGTACATCGCAACTTTACAGTTATATATTATAATTTAAAAAATATAATTTTTTTGGGAAACATAAAAAGAAGATTTGTGCACTTAACTATAAACAAACGTGGTGATTGTGGGTGAGTGAAAGAGACTGAAGTATACGTTATGTAGCTTTCTACCCCAAAATCGGCCCTTGTTTTAATAAGAGTCGAACAGTTTTTTGTTTTAGGTCGTTTCCTGACATAAAGTCAAAATCTTGATTATTTTATTCTTTATTTTTTGCAAGGATGGTTTAATCAAACGTGATTATGCCACCCTCATAGGCATCGTCAAAATCATGATTATCTTAATTGCGGTCTCTTTAAAGGTGCGACATACACAGCATGACCGCGTCAAAGTGCAAACATCGAGACATTGATCTTACGTTAAATATCATCTAACACTAATGAAGTTAATCGTCTTTTTTTATGTGAAAAGTTGCCAAGCGAGCAGACAGTTCACCCGATGTTAAGTGAATACCGCCCGCCAATGGACATCTGCAACACCCGAGGGTTGCAGATGCGGTGACAACCTTTCGAAAATTGGGCTCCGGTCACCTCACTCACCAGACGAAACGCGAAAGTATTTGTCATACTTCCACTTTACACTGGTCTTCTGTGAGGTCCGACTACTTACCCGGACGAGCCTACCCATTCGAGCAGCAGCCGAGGCTGCCGCGTGGCCCTACCACCGTCTATCCGTGCATCTTCTTTTGTTGATAATCAACCGGTCGATTGCAGCTGAACCGTCTGATGACGGAGATCTACGAGACAGTGTCGGCCGCCTGCAACATGGACGACAACCGACCGGGCAGCTTCCCCACTGAGCTGAGTGACGGCAGCACCAGCGAAGGTACGTCCAAAGTTCGGTCCCGAAGCGTGTGAGCGGCCGCGGCGAACGAAGCGAAGGCCAAATGTTTATGAGACATTTTTACGCAAGTTCTCTAGTCCCAAACTAAGCAACACTTGTACTATGGGTACTAGAAAACTGATAAACTTACTTAAACATATTTTTTTTTTTGTAAATAAATACATTACACATATATGAACACCCAGATACTGGAATAACACTACGTTCATCACACAATATTTTCCTATTAGTAGGGATCGTACTAACACCCTCTGGCGCAAGATACAGGTGCACTACCCATTAGGTCCATCTGCTCGTCAAAAATGTTGCTTCTCCAATGTTTTTATTAAGTGCAGGTGAAGAATAAATACTGAAGAATGTCTCTTCCTTCTGTTTCCTTGGAGGAAGTGGTAAAAGAAAGCGTTTACTTACACGATGCCAGGTGGCGGCGAACATGCATGTAACACAGTTGATGGTCAAGAGTAGTCTTCTTCACAGTTTTTGAGCCACTGTCAGGTAGAAGTTAAATTATCACCCTACTAGAAATATAAAATATACTTTAAACTAGGAACCGCCCCGCCTTCGCACGAGTGCAATATTATACCTATACCTTCTTGAATCTATATACCTTCTTCTTAAATCACTCTATCTAATAAAAAAACGTTTAAAAGGTCTAAGATCTTCTTGAAAAAACGTTTAAAAGATCTAAGCATACATTAGGACAGACAGACAGCAGGACGACTTTGTTTTATACTATAAAGTGAAGATGATCTATGTCTTTTACGTGTAAAAGCTAAATTTAAAGATGATTTCTGCTATAGCGGTTAAAGCACGGATTATTATAATCTTTTTGGCATTTTCTTTTTGACTTTTGCATTCAGAAAAGAAGTATTTACTCTAATAATGCCCCAATGTCCAAATAATTGGATTGACCCTAAAGTTTGGTGGATCCATTGATGTATTGGTTTCCGTTTTGGGCTAGTTCAAGTAACTCACGCCAGAAACGGAATCGGAAAAATTGGCAAACGAAATTTCAAGTAGAGTTGCATCACTCTTGATCTCTGTGATAAATTCACGTAACCATAAACAATATTCTTTTCCTTAATAAAAAGAGGTCGTTCCGATATGATCTTCACACACAATTTTTACCAATAGAAACTAGCAATGATAACATTATTGTTTACATATGGATGTCTTTTTGTTTACGTTCTCTCACTGACCTAGAATTTCAATTCCTCGTTATTATGTAACAGCTATTCGAACTTATACAGCGTGTCGCTACCACTGCGACAATAAATGAACACACATATAGAGGATAACTTTTTAAAGTATTAAACATTTACATTCTTTAAACATCAATATTTACCGAGTTATTAAATTTTCCAAAACAAACAATTTTAGAACACCCACCCTTACGTATAAAACTGTAACGTAAAGTTCATTTGTATCGGTCACAAAGCATATGAATGGGTTGAATGAATTTAAAAGAGACAAAACATACTGTTAGAAGGAGAGGCTTGTAATACGACGCTGTGGCGCGAGTTGTATAGGATGTTACAAATTTTGTTTCTTTTTTACTTAATTAGTTTGTTTGAAAAATATTTTTTTTTAATTATGGATTTTGTTTAACGTTAATATTTTTTTTATGATTATTGGCAAGTAGCGTTAGACTTGTGTTCATTTATTGTCGCGATGGTAACGACATGCTGTATAATAAATAGAAATCATTATTATTATGTACCTAGTAATGATACAGATTTGAGGTGTCTACCATTGCGACGTTTTAGGGTTGCTTGTGTTAACTACACACGATTCGAAGCTTAAAGTTGTATAAACTTTATGAGGGTGCGTTGTTTTAGCCAAATAAGTGTGAGATGAAGAACTTTAGACTAGTCCTGTTTGACTCAGTTCAGAATTTCTCGAGAAAGCTTTTCAGCGCCTATTTTCATCCCATCTTTACTATAATTTTATTAAATGTACATTGAAATACTTTTGCGGTTGTTGACATATTTTAGTTGCGTATCCACATGAATGATATTAATTATACAATATGTTTTATGACAATAACTACCAAACTGAAAAGAAAAGAGCAATGAAATAGTTAATAAACCGATAATCAATAATATCTATTTGAAAACAAAGATTCTGGCACATTATCACAACACACATAGATTTTCAGTGGCATGAACCTCTTCTATAAATAAAAATATTTGGATCGTGTTATCTTTAGTTATTAATATTTTTATAAATACTGTTTTTAAAATATTTTTTTCCCTTTGTATTTTTTTGTTAAAAAGTTTTGTGTTATTATCGACTTATTTTTCAAATGAGGGTGACACAATAAGTTTATTTCTGTCCTTAAAATGTGTAGGAAACGACTACGAAAAGTGTAATCGAACCCACGTCCTCGGGATTCTTGCCCAGCCGCTTCAACCACTAAGCCAAACGGCTCATTGCGCACCGACGACAGTCTTTATGTCAAGTTTACGACGCACCTTCCAGAGTCCGTCAAGCTGACGAGGAGTCTGACGGAGAAGAGGAAGAACTACGTGAGGCGAGTCTCCTCGAGGGTCGCCTATCTGGACCCCAATAATGTCAAGGGCCTCCGGTTCCGACACCAGACCTCGATCTGCTCGTACAAATCCGAGGTCGTAGACAACCCCTACTCCACGTTCCGCTCGTGGAAGAGTTTCAGGGCCTCTCAGTCGAACCTGTCACGTGACAAGATGGCGGACGTGACGGATGACAGTTTCGGCCTGGGCGGGAACGAGTCTTTGGAGCACCCAGTTAGCGACGACACAGACAGCCGCAGCATAGACGAGAAGACCGGCTGCGTGGAGATCGGGCTGCCGTTCGAGCCGCGCGAGAGGGGTCTGTTCAACGTCTGTCTGCTGGTCGGCATGGACTACATGGGCGGGCGGGCATACGTGAAGAGCGTGTTCCCTAGCCAGGTTGGTGCCTTTGCGTGTGTGTGTGTGATGTGTGTGTCGACATGTCCTTTTTTTTTTTAGGATTACATTTTCCTGTGTTGTACGGACGTTTTGCAAACATAAATTTCACGCGGACAAACACCCAGATGCGAAACAACTATCTGTGGTTCACACAAATGGTTGTCCCGTGTGGGAATCGAACCCGCGACATCATACGTGTGTTTATGTAGGCGGGTAGTGGTGGCTGCATTCCCAGGCGCTTTCATCGCAACATCACATCATCATGACGGTCACAAATGCCTCCTTTTTCTAGTTTTTGAGTAACAAAAATCAGAGACAATACTTACTCTACTCTTTGTATTCGTTATGTATACGTTTGTCTTCTTTACCTCACCATTAGGTGGAATAATGGTAAAGCCTTCAACAGTTGAAACAGAGTTATTGGAAAGTCAAACATAACGCCCTGTAGCTGAGGGGATCTTCACAAACGGCCAAGGCAGCTTAGGGATCCTACTTTGGGTACAAATCGAGCACCTTTGTCCAATCCCGTGAAGCAAAGGAAAGGAAACGCCAAATTTAACCACACTAGTTTCCTATAAAAAATCTAAACCCTGACTTTTGGACCAGGTTAAGGCACCGGCTCATATCGAGAACCTCGTGTTCCCCGAGACCCTGAGAGGAGCTCAGTGCTCGGCCGACCACGCTCAGCGATACTCGCTCGTTCTCACGGACGAGCGCGGCGAGCGCAGTTATGGGTGAGTACACGGCCTCCTCCACTATGATTCCTCCAACCCATTCCTTCCCCCATATCTATTTAAAATTTTCATATTGTACGTAATACTGCCTCCTCCACTAATAACCCATTCCGGAAATATCGGAAATATATTGGAACGCTTTAGAAGGATGGGTGTTTATTCTACGCTTTTCTAATCTATAAGGTACTGTCGGCGAGTGCTTCCAGAGGGCGCCACTAGCTGCCTACCTCTCTGCTACTGTTTGATTGGGAAATACCGAGCTCCCGGCTTTTACTATAAAGTGAGTTCTGCCAATGTACGAGTGTCGCTCTGATAAAATGCCAATAAAGTTCTATTTACAGAATATTATCGTATCATATATTTTATTATTTGCAATTGCGTATCTAATTTGTAATGAGATCATCCTCTGAGTTATGCGTACAGGGAATCTAATAAACATTTGTATATAGTTAGCGAAGTCTTGACATGATAGGATTCAATTAAATTATTACTCTACGGGAAATTTATTTTAAAGCCAAATATAAAAAAACAGGTTATAACAGAAAAAAAAAAAGAAAACATTGATGCTCTCGGTCTACTTTGTAGACCGTAGATCGACCTACTCTTACTCTTTGTAGATCGACCTTCGTGCTCGAGGCCGACTCGCACTTGGCCGTTTTATTTATATACACGACGGATCGCAGGTGCTGAAAGAGATCGAATCGCTCCACGGCAACTCGGAGGTGGAGATAAATCTACTGCTGCAGCAGCTGTTCGAGAGCGACTTCCCCAGTCCCGGCGAGGAGCTGGCGCTGGTCTGCAGCCGCGCCCGCGCCCACCCGCAGGACCCTCAGGACCCCGACCAGGAGGGCGGCATCGCGAGGGACCTGGAAGGGTCGAGGTCAGTTGACCTTTATACGTGACTTGTTTTAAATTTGATTGTTGTAGCGTTTCAACGACGTAACTTCGAAGAGTTCGATTGATAAGTTTTAAATGGCATTATGTTCTTACTGCGGAAGTGTACACGGAGGCTTTTCTAAGTGTATCCATTTTTTAAAAATCAATTCTAGACATATATAGCGTTATATAAAAAGCGATAAATATTTGAAATCACTTAATTTTTAACATTAATTTGAACTTATCTCAAAAAGTGCGTTAGTTATACGGAACTCGTTTGTTTTACGCGCGATCTTACATAACTAACACGCGCATAAGTTCGTAGTAAAAGTATACGACGCATAAATGTCGACACCTATCTATCTACATTGTGACACGCACACAACTAAAGTTTGTTACCACACGCGTATCAAAGCACAAGTAAGTTTATAATTCCAATTTTCCTTCATACTTAGAACGGGCTTAGGACCGTCATAGTAAGGGATCGTCATAATACTAAAATACTACTTTATTATTTTAAAATCACACACTATTGTCTGTACTTATTATGCCGTATTTTTAAAAAGTGCAATCAAGTATTTACAACAATTAAACTTACCAATTCATTTAGTCCCAAAAAGCACTCACTGATATTTTAACAATTGTTCAAAATGGAGTCCATTTCTCTCAATACAAAGCTGAGCACGCTTTCTCAAACAATTTTTTAACATTACTTGTGTCTGAGCATTGTATACGCCGGTGTAGTAAATTTTCCAAAATCTAATAACCTTTGGTTGGCTGCTAAAATCGTCTTTCGATTAGGGTACACTTGAATTCATTGCATGTCTTTTTAAACGCGGTAAAGAGTAACTTTCATAAAGTCTTTGGGCATCACTTAAAATGTAGCACCGTACCATCTCGTATTACACGCGGTTCTAATAACTGCGTTGTTGTTCCAACATCGTTAGAGACAAGCAAATCTAAAAATCAAGTCACGGTCAAATTGAAACTAACGAAGGGCTAAGGGCAGCGGCCGCATAGGGCGGTCGCCGTGTGTGTGTGAAAGGGAAGGGAACGAAGTGTTATAACATAACGCGGGTCGTCTCCAATTTATCGCGTGCGCTTAGTTTTGTTTGTGTGCGTGCACAGAAAAATTTATCTAGTCATGAATGACTACCGCATTGCCAACCTTTAAAAGAATGAGTACCGCATTATCAACAAGTTCTGTTTTGGTGGGAATAAAATGGCAATTTTTTTATTTCAAAAGTTTGTTTTTATTCCAATAAACGATTATACTACCGAGTCTGAACCTCCTGTGTAAATTTGGGCACCTCTAGAAAAGCCTCCCTGTATAAATATTTCGAATATTTCGGGACACATTTTTACACGACGCTTTCTAGTCACAAACTAAGCAACGCTTGTACTAGATAACTACTTGAACATACTTTTGTTTTGTAAATAAATACATATTATAAATATATAGACACTGGAAAAACACTATTTGATGACTCCGTGGCGCAGTTGCCAAGGTATTGGCTTCGGCGTCGGGGGTCGTGGGTTCGATTCCCACACTGGACAACTATTTGCGCGATCCACAGATAGTTGTTTAGCATCTGGGTGTTTGTCCGCGTGAAATTTATGTTTGTAAAACATCCCTACAACACTGGATAACGTTATCCTAAAGTAAGGGCAATGTTTTTTAAAAACTAACTAAAAATAACTAACTATGATTGACGATATTCATCACACAATATTTTTCCAGTAGTGGGGATCGAACCCACACCCACTGGCACAAGAGGCAGGTGACTAGTGACCTGACATGAGTAGTGACTCATTAGGCCAATTGGGCCGTCAGTTGGATAATAAAGTTAGGCGTATAAATCCAATCCCGAACCGATCAGGTAACAATATGGTTAACATGCCCGGTTCCTATATTCAACGAACGGCCGTTAGTTACATAGTCATTATGAAGTCGTTACAACGAGTCGTTATGAAAGTTACGAAGTTATATAATTAACGGCCGTTCCTTGAATATAGGAACCAGGTAATAGTGTTGAAGTTGTTATCGGTTGCCATGGTAACGCCGAAAGATTGTCACATTCACTTATGTGCGTCGTATCATGTAAAGCGGAACAATTATTAAACGCTTCTCAGTATGGACATGCATCATCTTCGTTAAAACACCGTTGACTATCACCCCATCAGAGTAGACCGTACTGAATATTCACTTTTCCTTTTTTTTTCGGCAGCAGAACGATCACGATCAAGAGGCCCATAGAGCCTCGCGTGGACGAGGACAGCTTCTCCGTTCTGCTGGACTCGTTCGGTGCCGGGCTGGTCATCAAGGTCTTCGGCTCGCTGCTGCTGGAGCGGAAGGTGGTCGTCATGGGCGACCAGTTGAGGTACCAATGGATATTTTGTAGTAGATGACTACCCAGCGCAATTGTTAAGGTATTGCCTTCGGCGTCCGGGGGTCGTGGGTTCGATTCCCACACGGGACATATATTTGTGTGACCCACACAGTTGAAGGAAAATTCGGGCTAGAGAAAAGAGATATCTACGATAAGGAATAGCCGCATTCGGCACGGCGATTTCGTGGCTGCATATAATTATACAAAGAGGTCATGACGTATCTGATAACTAAGTGGCATTGGTGGCAGCGTGGTGTCCTCGTGCCTGGAGGCGCTGCAAGCGGCGCTCTACCCGCTGGTGTGGCAGCAGCCGCTCATCTCCAGCATCCCGGCCGAGATCCAGCGCGACGTGCTGGAAGCGCCGCTGCCTATTCTGGCGGGCATGCTCAACACCGAGGGGGACGCTGAGGCGGGAGCGGATAGCATACTCTTCGAGGAGGTTGGTGCTCGCGTACTTTATCACGATCGTTTGGTCACTCCGTGGCGCGGTTGCCAAGGTATCGGCTTCGGCGTTGGGGGATGTTCGATTCCCACACGGGACTACTGTTTATCCGCGTGAAATTTACGTTTGTAAAACGTCCTCACAACACAGGATAATGATATCCTAAAGTAAAGGCAATGTTTTAGAAAAAAAAAACAAAGAAAAGAAAAGACAAAAGAATCAGGATCTGGAACCCTATGGATGTTAAAGACAAAAGAATCAGCATCTGCAACCCTTACAAAAAATAATGCAAAGAAAAGAAAAGACAAAAGAAATCTGCGACTCTACGGATATTGCAAACGTCCACGGGCGGCGGTTATCACTTAACACCGCGTGAACCGCCAGTTCGTTCGCCACCTCCTCGCGTTACTAACCAGCTCCTACTCCTCAGGGTATGCTGATCGACCTGACACACCCCAACAAGGTGCTGTTCTACCAGGGCGACGAGTCGACGATCCTGCCCACGTCCAGCTACAAGACCCTGAAGACCTCGCTGCAGATGGAGTCGGTGAAGCAGCGGGAGAAAAACGAGGACACGAGGACGAGGAACGTGATGATATCGGAGGCGTTCCTCAGGTTCTTCGTGGACATCCTCGGCGACTTCTGGCGCTTCTTCGAGGCCAGGGAGCCGCGCGAGGGCGAGATGGGCAGGAACGGCATAGTGTTCGACGTGAGTACCATAACATTCTCGATTATCTCTTGCCTGTTAGAGCGTTGAATGAAGGGCCAACAGCATGCTTTGCTGTGTGAGGAAGAGGCTGTTGGCTTACCTGTGTGATACATAGTAATACTTCCATCATTGTAAATTTGTCGTTACAATTCTATAGCATGGTAAATGGTGTACTACGCAATAGAATTCACGATCATTTTTTTATTAATAATTAACACAAGATGTCTGTTACAAGATCCCTAAGACGTTAATCTATTTTTGGATACTTTCACGATTGCGACATAAAAGTTATGGCAATTGAAAGTCCTTAATAACAACTTAATTAGTCTCTAAACACCAATTGACAATGGTTCAATTTCAGAGCAGAGATGGAAATGCAAATAAAGTGAATGATAACCTAATCAATAACGTAATATCCACCCTTGCAGAAGGAGGCGTTTGTGAGGAGCGCCCCGTCGAAGCAGAACCAGTACTTCTTAGAGTGGTTCGCCGAGACAGCCATGTTCAACCACTTCGTGCAGAACATGGCGGCGACCCACCCCCTCGCCGCGCCCCCGGGCCGCCTGGTGGACACCCCCCTCCCCAACTTCTACGAGCTGTTCCAGCAAAGGCTCAGCAGTAGGAACAAAGCGGAACACAGGCTGCCGGACTCGAAGAACAACTACAAGAGCGCTGTCAACAAGAAGGTCAAAATGCTGAAGACCAAACTAAGAGAGCTCGTTGCTTAGAGGCTAAACTAGATTGTGATCGGTGGAAGCTTGAAGATTTCTACATAGAGAGTGAGAAAGTGAGAGAATGGAAATATCTTTGATGAGCAGCGGTATTACCTGATATCAAGACTTGATGATTTTATGCCGTGCAAGGAAGTAGCTTTGCTACTGTAAGTGCTATTTATTGTGGTGGTTAGAAAGCTACATAAACAGTGATGTTGTCTGCCTTGAACGGAACTTTTCAAGTGTATTAAACTTAAGTCTATGTCTGATTACAGACAGGATAGATAGACTGTGTACTGTCGAGTTGAGTGCCTTTAGTAGAGTGTGAGCTTATTACAGAAAAATGGTTTTGTTATTCAAAGTGTGGATAAACAGTTAAAGCATCTTTAGTGATTTAAACAACAAAGTTCTACCAACAAACAGGATATAGACATTAGAAATATGGCAGGTTATAATTATGTTACTTAAAAATCCATTTTAATTTTTATTGTTATTTTTGTTGGTATTGTGCCATCAGTCAGTGACACTCTGGCCAATTTAGGTTGTAGAGCTTGTGAATATAATAAGAAATTGTATAAGAAATGATCAATACTTTAGTTCCCCGCAGTGAGCAAATGAGAGCACATGTTGTAAACACCCACCCCGTCACTCATGATCTTATAAAATAATCTCAAGTGAACTAATTAAATGAGGAGACTTAATTTTATTCATTACGTATCCATATCATTTTATTCATTAAATGAATGTAGAATGTATTTTAAATCATTAATACACTTCCTATCTTTTGTATGTTTAGTACACTGCACTCTTTCTGTTGCATATAATGTTTAAATGAACGAAATGCCATATAATATTTCATATATATAGGAAAAGGATAATTCTTGTTATACAATTACAATTTTATGTGACTTTATCCACTGCAAACTTGTCTCATATTAACTATTATCCTTTGGATCATTCAATAATCAACTTAAATATCGTTAACCTTTGGAGTAATATGATGTCATGAAGTTTTAGCTCCGTTAACTTACTTGCATTGTAAATATACAGTTGTTTTAGGCTCTTCATTTCATTTTAAGAAACAAAAACTCCAGTGAGAATTAATTCACAGAAATAGAACTACAAATAAGTTTATTGTGTTACAAAATTAGCGATGTTCGCATATTCTATATTAAAATGCATATATTTCTCAATTACAATTGATAGGACTGCATTTTTACTTTTTTGTAAATATTACACTTAATAATTGCAAAAGTTTTATAAACTGAATTTTTTGACTCAGCTTGTATAGAGTGTTAATAAAAGAGCACAAATCTTGAACTTACTCCCGTTTCAGTGTTGAATAATTGAGAAATAATTAAAAAAATATAAAGATATTAGAGAAACCAAACTATCAATATACATCACAAAAAACATTCCTATTTATTTTAAATAAGTGATTTCATTGATTTACAATGAGAAAAAGTATTAAAATGAATTGGTTTTACGATTTTTTTAATTCATTTTTACTATGCCATATGTTATTTCATGTATTGCGGTTTATTAAAAAGTGATATATCTTTCCAACAATTTGCAGGAAAGAGTGATTACTTTACTGAGTACTTTACAAGCGCATACTTTTAAGACTGTACATATTTTGCCATTTTATTATTTATTACATTAAAACAAAGTCCCTGCAATTATATTATCATATATAACTTTTATACAATTCCTTTACAACCTGTCCATTCCGAAAAAATGTGTATAATTGATATAATATTATTATCATTATTTTTAATAATGAGAATTAGCAAAGATACTTGAAAAAAAAAAAAAAAAAAAAAAAAAAAAAAGAAAAAAGACATTGATGGTCTGCAAATTGTGCAGATAACATTTTTATTTTGTTTTTGGCCCGAAAAGTGTATTTACCTATCTGCAAAGGTTTGCAGCATCAATGCTTTTGTAAAATATCATTAAACATGTTACATTTTAGGCTTGAACTTATACCGAATTGTTGTAATTAAAAACAGTGAAAAATTATTTCAATTTCTTAAATAAAAATTACTTAGATCTCGCTCTCTCTTATAATCCTTACAATTCTGTAGTATCTTTTTACATTTTTTGTTTTTATTTTCCATATAATTGTGTCTGTATAGAAATGTCTAAATAACGTGGTTGTTAAAAGCATATCACGTAATTTTTAGCTTAGATCTAATAGGTGGTAATTGTAGTGCCTGAATAATGTATGATATTGTATTATTAGAATTCGTTTTAGTTATTCAGACTGTTATTGAGTTGTAATGAAATAAATATTATTCTTTTATAACACCTTTTTCTTTTATTCTACTTACGACTTTTTAATATTTGTTAATTGACAGGTAAAATATTTATATTACAATTGTGATTTTATATACAGGGTGGCTTTTCTAAGTGTATCCATTTTTTTAATGAAATTCTAGACATAAATAATGTTATATAAAAATAATAAATATTTAAAATCACTCGTAAGTAATTGATTACATTCATTTGAACTTATCTCAAAAAGTGCGTGATTTATACGGAACGCGTTTATTTTACGCGCGATCAACACGCACACAAGTTCGTGCACATTCAAATTTAGGTATTTATGAATGACTACCGCATTGTCAACACGTTCTGTTTTTTAGGGAATAGAATTGCATTTTTTTTTGGAACAAATAACTTTGTTTTCATTTCCATAAAGGATTATACTACCGATTCTGAACCTACTGTGTAAATTTGGGCACTTCTCAAAAATTCTCGCTGTATAGTTTATAAAAATTACTAAAGTACAAAGTTCAGCAACTAATAGCAAAAGTACAAAGTTCAGCAACTAATAGCAAAACTACAAAGTTCAGCTGCAGCACCATTCCTAAATTATTTCTTTTTAATCCATCCAAAGGTTGCCTGGAAGAAATTACTCTTAGTAATAAGGCCGCCCATTGTACCCAACACTTCTACATTAAGTTTTAATTTTTGTTTATTTTATTTTTGGTGTGCAATAAAGTATATTCATTCATTCATTCATTAATACTACTATAATAATAAGTCTATTAAAATTTATACGCCACCGCTTCTTAAAATGCGAAAAAAGCAGTGCAGATAAAATACGTTGAGATTAATGTCGGTGTTACAATCGGCCGTTTAGCTTAGTGGTTAAAGGGTCTGAGCACGAAACCATAAGACATGAGTTCAATTCCTGCAACGGCGAATAACTGCGTCCATTTTTTTCTACAAATTTTAAAGCCTATGAAAAGTTTATACAAGTATATGGTAGTAGTTCTCAAAAAATTTTACGTCTACTGCATGCCTTATTATATTCACGGACGGTATTTACTTTATGAATAGGTTGATTTTCCTGAATCCCACGTGAGATGTCAATATATTACTCACCATAGCGGTAAAACAAAATAATTCTCATAATTATGTAGTTATTTTTTCTTAATTGTTGCGAACACAATAACGTCAATTGTGAAACCAATTACATCAGTTTCCCGCCATCGTTTGACAGCTGTAGTTTACTTTATGAATAAAATTGGCCGTCATTATAAATCTCCTTGTATTTATAATTATGAAAATACTTCCTGATTATTGTACGTTACTAATTAAGTAGTTCAACTGTTTCAGTTTTTACGCGCTGATTAAATATGCAACATGCAAAATTACAGTTGTCAATAAAATTATAATAAGCTGTAATTTAATATTAACAAGTACTATCGTAATAATTCTACACAAATATTTAATCAACATCAAGGAATAAAAAAAAATAGTTGCCATTAGTGGTTTACAGTATCGTGAATATTTGAAACCAAAACTCAAAAATCTATTGTATTCTGTAGATACCGTTTTATCAATTTGTAGTTTTCTTATTTATTAAATTAACTCTTTCCTGTAACATATGACTGATATCACGTTTAAGTTGTTTTATATTCATAAGTTATTGTAGACCGACGCCTACTAAACAAAAAATTATAAAAGATTATAGAAATCATCTGACCACAAAGCACACTTTAGTGTCTTCACTTTAGTGTGCCAAACCAGACAAAGCAGTAGAGCCAGGGAGCGTTAGACATTTTATTTTACAAAGGCTGAAAGTTTCGTCAAACCAATTAAATTTTACATACATATCTACTGATTAGTCATAATACATATCTATGCGAAGGCGTGATTCTTTACTTATAATTGCCCATTTAATTTTCGTAAATTAAACCTTTCGCAATTTTTTTTAAGTATCTTGTTTTATTGTTTAGGAAAACAATAAAATAAAATAAAGTTTTTACAGCAGCAATTATCAAATGTTGCAAATATCTAAAAAAAGTTATACTACACTGTGTAAAAATATTTAAACAAATAAGAGAAATAAGTAATATCTTATTATAAAGAAAAAGTACACGTAAAGAACACGTTTGCGATATTCCTTAAAGCTAAGTCCTTTGATTACTGAGTCGCTATTTATTCTATTTAACGTGTCCTGGCACCAATAAACGCATAAGTTATAAATTATCGCCGCTTTCGTTAACTTAAAATTCGGACGCAACCCGCGCGTATATATTGTTAAACTATGACCTTTTTGCGTCCACGCCGTCATTAATTGGAACGAATATGTTAATAAAACTCATTTCTAATACTAAATTAATAATTTTGTAACGCAACTCGTTACGATATTATGTTCTTATTCGGTTTTTTCTTCACTAGAGTTCCGCAATTCCCGAGGCTGGGGGTCACAAGCGAATTAACCTTTCTTAGAAATATATTAATAACTGTCACCTGTTGCCTGGGCCTGGGAATCGATTTTGCTATTTTATTTTGTTATCAAAGTTATTATAACAGTTATTCTGTTAAGTGAAATCAATCGCTCCAATTTCGTGGTGAGATACACCCTTTAGATGACCTAATTCTATTAGTCGATACGATCATAGGCAGGTTTTATTTCAGTGTCGTTCAATGAATAAAACATCCGACATTTCCTGTGATATTTTGTCCGTAAAGTAAATCTTATTTAGACTTATTGTACG